TCTGGAGGCAGGTTGTTCCACTGATTAATTGTTCTGTCAGGCAATCTCTCCTTAGTTCTAGATTGCTTCTCCTTGATTAGTTTCCATCTGTTGCTTCTTGTGCTGCCTTCAGGTGCTTTGGAGAATAGCTTGACTCTCTCTTTTTTGTGGCAGCCCCTGAGATATTGGAACACTGCTATCACAACTTAGATAAGACTGATGTCTGTGTTTAATGATAGTTATTTTATGTATTGTCTGAAAATCACCTATAGCCCAAATTAGGAATAAGTCAGTTGCAATAAATATTGCAACAATAGCAGTTAAGATAATATCAAACATATTAGAATACAGTAGTCAAAGGAACATTAAAAATTATCAAAATCAGATGAACAACTTTGTGGCTGTGATCCTCTGATCTGATCTTCATGGCTAGTAGTTTCCAGAATGAAAATTGCAATCATGGAAAGACCAAGAAGAGGATCTGAAGGATCCAAAGCAATTCAGCTTTCTGGAACAGTCCAACTTAGGGAGATCTAGACAAGCTGCTCAGATATTCTTCATATATTTGCATCTATTGTCCCAAAGGTGTTTTTGGGATAAGAAGCAAAACATCTTCAAGGAAAAAACAAAGAAAGTCCAGTTCCCTTTTGAAAAAGTGTCTTTGGAATAACCATGACTGGATGACTGAGAATCTCCCTGGACATTTCCATCTGTTATGTTCTGTGAGAAGGCTCCCACCGCCACCCCACCTCCTTGGGAGAGAAATCAAAATAGTACCTTTCTGTAGAAATTAGCCCTTAGGTTTTCATACCTTTAGTGCAGCCTTTCCAGGTGCCATTTATTTGGATTGAAACTCTATCAACCTTAGTCAATATTATTAACAATATGTGCTTAGCTGTAGTCCCTAGTTAATAGTCCCCAGGATAGACATTGACCATGCTGGTGAATGATACTGGAATAATCATTCCAGACTAGCATAGAATGACAAGGATTATGGTCCAAGTCATCTAGATGTCACCAGGCTGCGGAAGGCAGCTTTTGTCTGAGGATCAAAAGGAAGCACATAAAATTGGTGTGACACATTTAAAATCTAATCAGTAAGCTATAGAATTGCCATTTTGCTCTTATGATCAACTTGTATATCAACTTTGGCTCATCTCCCTTAATTCTGGAATTAAGATGCAGTTCATGTTGAAAATTCATTGAGCCTTGGCTTCTGGGCAAAACTAGCCAACCTTAATTTATTGAGAAACAAATCACTGATAAATCAGGATTACCATTCAAGATCTAGGAATGGAGGAGAGATTCATTCACCTCACATCTGAATGTGAACTTCACTTAATTTGAACTTCCTAAACTAATACACAAAATGAAATGCTGTTATTCAGTACATTTTTTCTGAATTTTATTATACAACAATGCTTCTGTTTTTTAAAAGTAAAAACATACTGTACATAAATGTGTACGTTACAAAACATCTAGAGAAATATAGATGTGCATGAAATTAATATATGAAAATATTTTTAGGAATTAGGAAAGTGCATAAATATAAAATTGGGAAAATATATGTAATGCAAAATACTTCAAAATATTTAACCTGTGGTTTTTCATTTAAATTGAATTGACCATAATTATTTAAATGCAGAGATTGGCAAGTTTATTAGTTTCAGTTTCTTGAATTCCTGATCAAAATTTTGTTTTGGACCATCATTGTTTTTGTTCCTAGATATGCATGTAATATTTCTGCTAATATATATTTTATGAATATTTCCTAGTATGCTTACTTTTCACACATATTTTTCTTTAATTCATTTATGTATTTTTCTAGAATAATATACTTTCATATGCACACTATCATAATATACTTTCATATGCACACTAGTATGGATATACAAAATTTTTATGTATATAGTTTATTGTGGCAAATAGCATTACAAAATTAATCAGCATACAAATGTGTTCTATATATAGTAATGTATTTTTTGGCTTGTAAATTAGGTGATTTCATACAAATTTTCCTCGGAGAATCTTCTAAAAGAAAAAGAAACTTGCTAATTAATTTACAGTTCCATGTTCAAAGATGCTCACATCTGAACAAATTAGCTTAGGAAATGTTTTTTTTTCATATTATTGGCATTTTCCTATATACTTCAAAGGATTTTTGTCTACTTATAATCTCTAATTCATGCAAAAGGTTTTGCCCTTGCAGCACATTGGCCTCTTTGTCCTGTTCTCACTAAAAAACTGAAAACTTCAGAGTCTTCTCCTGGAGCAGAACAAAGAACACAGGAATCAATTTCATTTTCTAAAAACAGCCCAAACCCTGAACGTTGTGGTTCTTCTGAAAACAACATTTTGTCCATGATATGCCCTTCCTGGAAGGAAAGAGTATTTTCAGTCAACTCTTCTTCTTGATACTCTTATCTTATGAGGTTTCATTAATAGAACTGAGAATAGAGAAATCCAGAAAACCACACAGATGGCCTGGTTGAAATAATTTACCTACCACTAGCACATTGACTTTATACCTGTAACACTGTGTGCGCAGATGAGCACTGCATCTAATTTGGTCTCTGGATCAAGAGTCTTCCTCAGCCTTGTGGTCTCCAGATGTATTGAATGGCTAGCGCAAACATGAGCAGCTGGAGAGTTTACCTAACACGTGGAGATGAGGGCATCCATTTGGTGAAGGCTAATCTAATCATGGAAAGGAGAAAAAAGATCCTTCATAGCTGCAGCAATGTAATTGGGATAGATAGAAAGTCTCTTATTAACACGGTCCTTGGCCCAACCTGGCAAATAGACAAAAGCATTGGTAAGAAAACTAAAGTGTTTTTACTCATATTTCATATATCTCTTGTACAATATTAACAATAGAGAAGAAGATGGAAGTCACATAGGATTTATTCAGTAGTCCAAAACTGAAAAAGATGATAATAAAACAAGATTATAATTATAGCCAAAAATGGCAGCTTTATAATATCCATTTTAAAAGAACTAGTGAAGAAAAATGGCTTAATAAAAGTAAGAAAATAAATATGCAACTTCATTCATTCAGTCGTCAACTTCTAGGCCAACCAACCCCAAAGATTCTGGGTGTCCTAGAAACTAAATAACATCTACAAACAATGCAGTTAGAGAAAAATCATCTTTTCCCCACAGATGCCTCCATCTCCCTAATACAAGGTCTAGGGCAGGGTTGTCACAGTCACAATGTCACATGATGTGTCGCGACATATCACAATTCTTTTTCCATTGCCGGCAATGGGGTGATGCGGTTTCGCCAAGATGCATCTGGCCCGTGAGCCAGCAGTTTGACATCCTGGTCTAGGGTAATAGCCATGTTTTTAATGCTGTTTTAAGATTACAAAGCAGGAGAGTCATTCTGGATGCTGTTCCAGGTGATAGACATGACTTTCCTTCAAGGTTCTGCTAAATTGCTTGATTGATGGGACTAGGAGTGATGAAACTGTTTCAGATCTTATAGGAAGGGTAGAAACCATAGGAGTTAACAGTCATCAAATAACTATTGTAAACCCCCATGCCATATAGGCCTTAAAGATGATAACTAGCAAACAGTACTGCTATATCAAAAACTGATTAAATAGGCAATGGAATAAAGCTGAAGTTGTAATACAACTAAGGGTTTTGTAGTTTTCCTAACTCCCAGTGAGAAGGGAGGAGATAGGTCAATCATTTTGAAGGTGTTTGGATGGAAATGTTCTTCCTAGATAATAGCATTTCCATAGTCATGGAAATAAATATCTTTATATATATGTATGTGGAGTGCATCCAGTATGTCTAGTGAATTATTCTGCAAGCACAGTAAGATTAATACCTTATTAAGAAAGAAGCCATAGGAAAATCAATTTGGACTTATGCCTAAAATGGTACAATTCATCAAGTTATAAGTGATGGGTTGTGTGTGCTTGCCCATATCAACTCTCAGGATGAAAAAAAGTTTTTTTTAGCCAATTAGCTTTTTGGCACAACTTATACCATGAAGCTAAAGAAGTGAAAAGCCAGTTTGGTGTAGCCATTAAAGCATCAGGCTAAAAATCAGGAAACTATAAAATTCTAATCCCACCTTAAGCTCAAAGCCATCTACCTGACCTTGGACCAATCACTTTCTCAACTCTAGGAAGGAGGCAATTGCAAACCACTTCTGAAAATCTTGCAAAGAAAACTGCAGAGCCTAATCCAGACAGTTACCAGGACTCAACACTGCCTTGAAGGCAACCCCCCCCCCCCGAACAAAACAAACCCACACAATACAAAATGAAAGGATAACATTCCCAACACCTTTTCTTTAAGAGGCCAAAAGATATCATTTCTCTCCATGATTTTTGAAAATTGATAGCAATGATTTCTACAAGTTTGAAGAGAACGTACACAAGCATCAAAGCATAAGCCCTAAAACAGTGGTTCTCAACCTGTGGGTCGGGACCCCATTTGGGGTCGAACGACCATTTCATGGGGGTCGCCAAAAAAGGCTGTCCACCATTTTCCCCCCTTTTCTTTGGCCACGCCCCTGGCACCCAGTGATGTATAAGTGGTTGGGGGTCACCACAACATGGGGAACTGTATTATGGGGTCACGGCATTAGAAAGGTTGAGAACCACTGCCCTAAAACAAGTCTTCCATAATTTTAAATAGCAAAGAAGCCCAACTCCATTCCCAGAAAGAATTCAAACATCAGAACCCCAACCATTATGTTAAATGTATAGTAATATCCACTTGGCAGCATTATTTCCCCAGTTTTATCTGGTAAATTAAAGCACTAAGCAGAAAACAAGAAACTGTAAATTCTAGTTCTGTCTTAGGCATGAAAGCAGGCTGAGTGATTTTGGGCCACTCACTCATTCTTAGCCCAACTCACCTCACACAATTGTTGTGTGTGTGTAGGGGGGGGGGGAAATAGGACGAAGGAAGGACAGGACAACAATGAAAATGAAATAATGAAAACTCTGCATATATTTAAAAATGACTCTCACTTTGACATTCCATTGGCAAAAAAATGATTATTTTAACTGTAGTTGTCAAGAGATAATTTTATACTTAAGGAAAAATATTTTAAAATATTTATATTTTCACACATAGCAAAAAAACAAAGAATATAAAATATTTCTGGCAGCTATGTGGAAAGAAATACTGATAATATAAACTTTGCTGCACAGCAGATATAAACACACCCACAAGCAAAAGCAGAAACAAAGGCAACCGCTACTGGCTGAATGCATGCAGGCTTGTTGATGATTGAAGGGTGAGAAAAGGACGGTTTACACATGCCCGAGCAGTTCCCCCCTCAAAAAAAAAAAAAAAAATAGTTCTTCACACACCTCGGGTTAGCTGGAATTAAAAACTTGGCAGATGGGTGGCTGCCTAGTGCAAAGACCAATGCAGCTTAACCTGAGTCAATTACACGAATAAAAACAAAACAAAAGAACCCTTTGTTGGTGAAGGTCCAGGAAGCCCGCGTCTAAGTGGTTCTAACGTGTGTCTGACTTTTGGCCTTTGCACCTGTGTTCCTGCAGGGAAGGCGGCCATATGGGCAAATATTGCGCGCGTGTGTGTGTAGCGCTGGTTAGAAAGCAGCTGCTTCCTCGTTTTACACGGCGCATCCACTTGCTGATGCACACCCGAACGCGCATATAGAGACTCGCTGGCAGTCGCCACTACCACTACCAGCAGCAGCAGCACCCAAATCCCATTGCAAACAAAGGGAGATGACGGCGGAGCTGCTGGAGAGGTCTTTCGCCTCCTTCGTTTTGCAAGCGGCGACCGCCCGCAGCCCTTGGACTCTGCCTTTCCCTCTTCCTCCCCGTAGCTGTCCTCCTCCATCCCGCAGGCGGTGGTAAGTCGGGAGTCAGGATTCAGAGCAAGGCGAGAGGGACGTCGCCCGCGAGGGAGAAGAAGCGAGTGGGGCGAAACACACACACACTCTCTCTCTCTCTCTCACACACACACACACACACATATGCGCGCGCGCAGGGACTCACACAACCAAAACAAACCTCGCCCGCTTTCACCTCGGCTGATTGTCAACAGATCATTTGCAAAAAAAAATCCGAGAGCAGCAGCAGCAGCGGCGACGGCAACTGGCGGGGAAGCGGCGGGGGAATTCCGGGCGCCTTTGTGCTTCCCCCGCCGGTGTTTATGCTGAACGCGGTCTCGCCGAGTAAGGTAAGCGGGAGGGAGGGGGAGAGGGGGGAGCAGAGGGTTTCTGCCTTTCGGCGGAGTCTGGAAAGAAAGAAAGCGATGCATGAATCATCCCTGCTTTTTCCTACTCCGCGGATAGTTGACATACGCTTCCAAGTAGCAGCTAAGTGCGGGGAGATGCTTTCAGGTATGATTTAGGAGCAGGGGCGGGAGGGGGGCTCTCTTTTTCGCTCTTCCCCCTCCTCCTTGATTAGTGCCCAGAAAAAGTATTTTGTTTTGTTTTGCTGTGTGTGTGTGTGAGAGAGAGGGAGGGGGCAATTCCCATGCCCAGAGAGCTAATCTGACAGACATCACCTGCCTCCCTGAATGACTGCCGCGGTTGGATTGGGGTGATTTCCCACGTAATGTGGATCCCTAACAAACGGCGACATGTATAGTGAGGAGGACATGCTTCCCAAGCTGTCAAAAATGGGGGACATAAGCCCTTGTGGCCACTGACGTTGACATTAAATATATGTGCCTTTACTTTATCCCGTCGCCGATGTTTCAAAGAGCAGGAGGGAGGGGAGGAAATCTCTCCTCCCTTCTTAAGCCAAGGTATGTTAAAGAGGAATAATTTGCAAGTTGTCAAATGGCCATAGGAGTATTAGATGTATATACAAATTGTGTTATCGAGTTGTATGCTTTTAATATGTTTTAATAATGTTACCTTTCAGCATTTATACAGTTGTTTACTTAAAGCAAACTTGAAAACCAAGAAGACTATGAATACCACTTGCATACCTTTGGCCATCTTTATGATATTTCTTGGATTTATTTCAAGTTGAACTACCCAAACATTAATCTAAAAAAAATAGTTAATTTTACAGTTCCTTTGAAATTTTAACCTACCTCCCCCCCCCAATCCAGCTGCTTATATCCCTAAAAATAAAAAAGGAATAGAATTTCCTGCTTGCTCCCTTGCCTCTGAAGGCAGCATGAATGCATTCAGAGGCAGGACTGTCACTTTGCAAATAAACAGTGATCAAGCTCCTGCCTCTAAGAGAAACAGACTTCAGTCACTAATCCTTTCCCATACAGTAATGCAGAAAAGCTGCCAGGGCCAGTTTAATAGGAGAAGAAGAGCAGAAAAGTGGGCAGGCTTCTGAAGAGAGAGACCAGCTAGAGGCTTGCGAGAAGCTAGACTGGTAAGAGAGAAAGACTGATTCTGTTCAAGTTTGCCTGCCTTCCTAAAACTCTTAACTGAGGTTCAAGAAAGAAAAGGAGGAAGATCTGCCCTAAGCTTTTCTTCAAAACACAATCTGAGGTTAGTGTCCCTGTGATGGTCATGGGTTTGAGTAACGGTCATAAAGTGGACATGGTAAAAGCATTTTCTGAATGACCCAGTGAAGCAGTTTGAGCAGAACAGTGAGAGACAGCATAAAGCCAAATCCATTTTTTAACCAAACACATATAATTTATCTTCAAAAGTCCATCATGCATTTTAAACTATTTTATTACATATTTTCAATGCCCCAGTCATACCCTATTCAATGATTTTATTGTAAAGATTTACACACCTGTACATGGTTTTTTATGATAATTGTCAATACATCTTCCGTTCGCATCAGGAAAAGAATGATGCTGTAAGCACGTCTGTTTGAATATTTTAATGGGACATTAATGGGACATTCATGATTACCACTGTTTTTATAAGCTTGATTGGCATATTGCAGTTCGCCATCTAAAAATGTGAAGTTAAAAAATAGATACAAAAAACATATTCACTGGAGTCCTTATAGTTTATGTTGCTTGCTTTGTTCTCTGATTTTCAGCACATAAAATTCATGGTTAGCATACATTCATTCCTAAGGAAAGAACATTTCATAAACTTTTTTTAGCTAGGAACTCTTTAAAATTCTGCCTTTTATTTATGTCATTATAATATTTTAGAAATGGCTGTACAGTTCACTGTTCAAAATATAGAACAAAGATTATATTTTCGGAAAAACAATGAAGACCTGCAGATACATAAGTTATTTCCTTATGTATCTGCAGTCATTTTATATCTATAATATATATCACGGCAGATACAGAGAGAAAACAAGCAATTAAAGAATTTAATATTATCATAACAATATATGTATATATGGCAGTTATATTCTGTTGCTGCCTCTTTTTCTTAATATGCATGCAAATTACTATATATAAACATTCCCATTATATAAAACCCTTTTAAAGTTAAGATGTTCTGATTTTAAGGTCTGAATCTTGCTTTCTTATATCTGGCAAATTAATTCAGAAGGCTTGACTTGAATCTTCCAGTTCTTTGTTTTGATGATTACAGATTTGATACCACTTCAGAAAGCACATACAAATATTGCTGAAAATTTTAACAAAAGAAATGCAAATGAATTCATACACTTTCAGCTATAATGCTTAGTAGTAATCTGTCAATAATACTTAACCTCTCTTGTTGTACTATCTGATTTGCCCTTGTGAAAGAAAGCAGATTCAGTGCTGTTCAAACTTGTTGCATCAGATGACATAATTATAACAAGCATATTAGTTTGCTTGTGGTATTGCAAAGACAAACAATATTACTTCTGGAGTTATACTAACCGTACGACATACAGACTCATACCTCACCTGTAATTCAAGGGCTGTTCTGCTTTTCAATTTGTTTTCAGTTCAACATGTTAATAATGATCTTTAAAGTCCTTAAGAGCTTAGGTCCAGAATATCTTAGAATTGCCTTTTTCCATACTTGCCTGCCTACAATTCAATAGTAACCTTTTTTTTATAATTCTGTTGTGAAGTCGTGGGCAATAGTGGCTTTTTCATGACTGTACCTCAAAGACCATTTAAGAAGGCATTTGCTTTACAGGAAATGCAAATTTTATTTTTTGTCTCATTTTAGCTTCTGCATCTGCCTACTTCTTACTGTCTGTTCTTTACTTTTAAATTCTACTTTTTCTCTTCTAATTTAATTTTATTCTCTTCTATTGTAACTCCCTAGAATGTTGTAGAACATAGCAGTTTGTTTGAGGTTTGAAGATTGTTTTGGATCCTCGCCTCGCCAAAGTTTTATAATAGCCAACAAAAGCCTCCAAAATTTGTAAGTAAGCAATATTTAATATGACCAAAGGGGGTGATATTGAACAGATGACTAGAGAATAGTTATACTAACTATATTTTAATTAAATAAAAAGTTAGGTTTTTTGTAGCTCCACCCACTTATTTTTGGAAAGAGTTATACCACTCAAAAGCCAAGTCCTGTAAATCTGGAAAAAGTTGTGCTTCACCAGTATAAAACTCTGGGTGGTATAAAGGTTTGAATAAAAAAGAAACACTGTACTTCTGAAAAATATTTTTTTTTATTTCTAGTTATATGGCTCCCTATCTCATATTCATGACTCTGGATGGTTAACAACAGTAATATCTGTATGAATATACAATCATATAAAACCATATAAAAATCTTAAAAGCACAGGCAGCAGCCAGGATACAAAAAATCACCACACCATCAATGAATATAACTATTACCTTTTTAAAAGCCAGTACGATAGAGACCAATCTAATATCTACCCAAGGGAATGAAGTTCTAAAGGACAGGTACGACAGCAGAAAATGCTCTCTTCATAGCCCCACCACCATTTCTTAATAGATGGAACCTCAGGCATGAGTCTTCTGATATATCAGCTGACATAATCGGAAGGAAATGGTCCCTCAAATTATGCATCCCTGTGCGTTGAAGAGCTCTAGGGATCATTACAAGCACCTTGAACCAGGAAGCATTCTGGTGCAGCTTGTGGAGGAGACATGTAACATGCTCACATAACTGTCTGGCCTGTTGCATTCTGCTCCTGCTGTAGCTTCCAGATGCTGTTCAAAGGTAGTCTCATGTAAAATGTTTTCTACTTTTAGTCTTTTTTACTTTACGTTCATCCCATTAAATTGTTATTTAGAAGGGCAGAATATCTATAGCTCTTATATTGGATTACAGTTAATCTGTCTAACTAGCATAGGTATGAAATCTGGACTGATCAGCAACCATCTATAACTTTTGGGTTTTTTGCCCTCTATAATCTATCACATTTTAAAAGCTTCTGTGACTGCTTGTCTTTGGGTTATACGGTATTAACAAACAATATGGTTCTTTAGGTAGCAAAAAGTTAAAGCTCATGTCCAAAAGAAAGAAACAGAAATATATACATATTAGTTTGCAAAAGATGTTCTGGAGTGGGCAAAAATGCTCACATTGCTCTTGTCTTCAACTCTTTTTTAAAGTAGTCTTATCGTTTCCCAGATTCGTATGGCTGTCGTTTGCAGCTGCCACGTAGAGCACTCTTTTGGAATCAATTCTAAAGCATTGTATAACCCTAATAGGGTTATACAACCGTAGGGAAAAAAGACAACAAAAAGACAACAAGAAGATAAAGAACAAAAACAGCTCCTGTCATGACATGCTGATTGATGTTTAGAACAGATGAAAACTCTGTGTGGGAAAACATAATAAAAGATCCTAGGAATGGGCATGGCTACCTGGCTAGAAGCTTGAATAGAAACATTATATTACATGTTGCTACATTTTATAGCAGATTCCCCCACAATATTTTTTTTTCATTTTAACATCTCTTTGGGAAAATTAAATAATAGAAGCATACTATAATATTTTTGCTGAATTTTTGGGGAAGGAGGGGAACTGCAATAGGTGTAAAAAGTTTTTAAAATTTTTCTACTTTATAATAATTGTACTAATGATCCATACACGAATATGGATCTTCAAGCTTATGGATCTTAATCATAGTTCATGTTTAGGAGGCAAGAGAACTTTGAGTAATTCTACTTCTTCTTTTCCTGCTAGTAATGTTGAGAGATGGTTTTAAGTGATTGAATTAATGGAGGGCCATCCACGTATGTATACTTACAGTTAATTGGGTAGATGCAAGCCAGGAAAGACCCTGCAAAGTTTACCATCTTCCTCCTGTAAAGAAGTCTAACTTGAGACTTTATTCAAACTGAGCTGCCTTTTTGGTGGACACTTTTTATAAGACTTGATTGAGCTTCAAGAAACCCATTTTTGGTAAGATTGTAAACTTGGTAAGTTTGTTAAACTTTGGTAAGATGGCTAAACTGACCTCTTTGCCAACCATAATGGTATGTGGGAATGACATTGGAGACGTGGAGAAGAACCGCAGCCAGGGCAGTAATGCTCAGATATGTGGCAACTTAGTGTGTAGAAGAAATGTGGATTGTGGCAAATATCCCAGAAGGGCTCTTCCTTCTGGGACTGTAAAGATAAAAGGAGAGAAATGTACTTTCAGACTTGCAAGATTCTATTAATAGAACTTTACAATAAACTAGAGCTAGTACTTCTGGGTGAGTTTCTTGTGTGGACTACCTCACAAGGTTGACACTGACTTATCGGAAGGCCTTAAAAGCATATGTATTGAATATGATAAATTAAATTGACTTTAATATTTACTTTGATTTTTATATATGTGGTTTAAGTCTGGGATTTTGGAACTTTGGTTTTGTTATAAGTTGCAAACAGATTTCAATACCCAAGAGCATAATAACTTGTTAATAAATATATGGGCATGTTTAGGTTAAGTTGAAAAAAACGTTTTCCTCCATATTGATGGTGTCCATCAGCTGGGTGGTGTTTTTATTCAATAATTCAAAGTATTTAGGATTATTGGAGTCAAGAACCAGCCCTTTTGTATGACAAGTCAGATTTTAGAACCTTTATTAAAACTATTTTGTATTACAGGTAAATAAAATTCAATCATGATTTTTAAAAAACATATGAGAAAGAAATGCATCAATGGTATTCATCATAAAATTATTGTGAAGGGGAAAACAACTGTACATTGGTTGGCAAAGAATCAGGCTATAATCTTGTAGATTTAAGACTCTGAAAGATTGGTAGTCCATACATATATTATATACATAATAGTTATAATATAAATTAAAATGGCAGACCCTTGATGATATTTCAAAGCATGTGGCTCCAAATATGTAGATCTCTGATTGCTCACATTTTAGAACAGGTAAGATAGAAGTAAGTTGCATATAGTGAGGATAAAGTACACAATGCGGTAGTGCAAAGTTTTGCAGCATCACTAATTTTAAGTTGTGTAGATTTCCAATCCAGAATTCCTCTGCCAATATGATAGGAATTCTGGGAGTTAAAGTCCACAGATCTTAAAGTCACTGTGACTGAGAAAGACTGATATAATTAATGGTGGAGAAGTGGTGGGAAGAGGGGGGTCTCACTTGTTAGATAAATGAACAAATATAAATGATGAGCTAGACAGGCAGCCAGTTAGCTAAGCAACAAAAGATCATTCTACTTCTTTGCAAAGCATGACTCATTGTTACAACTGTGTCTGAAACTACTGTACATCAAATAAACTAAGAATGCCAAGAGCCACAGGATCCTTCATTTTCATAAGAATGAAAAATACTACAGAATTGAAATCAAGTATAAAAAATCTCCACATTTCAACATATTTTACATTATATATAGTATATCCACAATGTATAAAAGAATATAAATATTAATTCTAAATAATTTGTGATTTTTTTTACCTCGCAAGCTATCAGCAGTGTTTTCACAAGGCTCTGTTTCTACTCTTCAAGTGATCTCACCCATCTTCCACCAGCTGCCTGGCACTCTCCTCACCTGACCTTTGGAGTAGAATTAAAACAAATTGATGTCTTACCCTTCTTTGTTCTTTCTTCTGTGTTTACTTTTAATGGTGGCAAGAAAGAAGCTAACAGTAACAACTCCTAGTAACTACCAGTAGACACTATGGAAGAACTCAAGATAGAGTGTTGCGAATTAATGGCACTTCTGCTTTAGGAGGGAAGGAAAAATCTCAGGAGGTGGGAAACATAACAGAACTATATTGAGTAGGGGGGGGGGTTCTGTAGCCTCAGTTAATCAATTTAATTTTGAAATTAATAGTCTCAGCATGAGAAGAGCGCTGAAAGTGACAGGCATCATAAGAACCCAAAAGGGCAGTGCCAAATACCACAAAACAATGCTGATTTTCTTTAAAGCAACATTTTAAAGAGTTAAAACAAAACACTTTTTGTGAAATAACAGCATAGAAATTTACTGTATACTTCCCTTTGACTCCAAATTTCCTTTAAAGTTTACTGTTTCTTGATATAATCATATTCTTGTGCGATAGAAAAGGGACTGCAAATAAGAAATAAATCTAAAAGATTAGCAAAACAACCCAGAATGATAGTGTCACAGTGATAAACATTTTTCAGGTCTTTTATATAATTATTCTTCTCCCTTCAGAATATTTCCAGGTTCCAGGCATATATCTTCTGGACAGACATAAGTTGACTCGGGTATGTATGGCAACTTTTTGCAAATTGATGTTCTCCAGATAGATTAGGTGGAGCTCCTGTTACTCATGCTGCTTCCAGTGTTGTAAACTTTCATAAAACACATTTGGGGGAAAAACTAGATTTTCATGATATACTATATATTCTATTCATGTCTTTGGGAAAAGGACAGCTCCTTCAAGGAAAGCCAAGAACACTATTGAGCTGTTATGACATTTATTTTTACAAGATGTCAAGTGTAGATCAGTGTAGAAAATTAAATCCTCTGTATATTTAGATGTTTTGGACATTTTTTCCACCTTTGTTAGAAAAATCAAGATGTTTCGCATCAGGCAAGCAGGATGGACCTTCCTGTTTTACAACATTTCAAAAACCATAAGCAGGAATAAAATCGCTACTCATCTTTGTAATTGAAGGTTCACAGCAAAAAGATAGCTGAGTTTTATCATATCTTCATCTGTCCACATTGAACAAATAGGGTTTTTTGTCTGAAAAGAAATATAAATGTGATTAAAACCGTTTTCTTATACTCATCATTGATTGATGGAGGTCAATCTTTACTAATTCCTAGAGGAATAGAAATGATTTCTTCTCATAGTATCAAAACAAAAAAAGCTTTTCATGGTAAATAAGGTTGAGAAGAGGAGAGGAGAGAATAAGAATTGCTGTTCGTTTCTTTGTTTATTTATGAGAATTATAGATTGCCCCAATTTGTTTCAATTCTGATCAACTTACAAAATACAATAAGAAAAACACAGTAGGAACACAGACTATATCATCAAAAAAGAAATTCTAAGGAAAAAAAATCATAATCACACATCCAGACCAGAACTTCACATTAGGGTTCCATCATCCACTCTGACCCAGGGTTCAGGAATAGTCAAGTGGTAAGGCCTTGTTTAAATAAGGACAATTTTTTTAATATAGATGAAAAATTATATGTTTTTCTCCTAAACCTCCTTCAGCAAATTGTTGTTAGGGGTGCAGTATGCTTGCATTTCTATCTAATCATTCTTCCATAATAACATTCCACTGTTTTGAGGAACTGGTTTTTCAAATTATTTTTCAGGATTGCAAAAGTTGCTTTCTCTTTTTCTTAAAAATGCATGTAGTCAATATGATCCTGTAAAACTTTTACATGATCTTGTAAAAGTTTTATCAGAAATGAATGCTCCTTGTTAAAATCTTTATTTATTATTGCATTGAGAGTTGCTATTTTCCTGTACTAAAATGTGCCTCCCCCCCCCCTTTTCAGCTTCAGAGATGGAAGAACTTACCTAAGAAGGACCTAACTTACGATAGCAGTCAACTTTAATTCTCTTAAGGACTCTGGCTTTGCTGCTACTTCCTTATCAGGATGGCTGAAAAGGCTCCAGATATGAACAAAAAGTCATCCAGGTCTACACAGTCTCTTCCACCAGAACCAGTGGACATAATCAGAAGCAAAGCATGTTCTAGGAGAGTGAAAATCAATGTAGGTGGACTTAATCATGAAGTTCTATGGAGGACTTTAGATAGACTTCCACGGACACGTTTAGGAAAGCTCAGAGACTGCAATACCAATGACTCTTTACTAGAAGTATGTGATGACTATAATCTTAATGAGAATGAATATTTCTTTGATAGACACCCAGGTGCTTTCACCTCTATCCTGAATTTCTACAGGACAGGAAAATTACATATGATGGAGGAAATGTGTGCCCTCTCTTTTGGCCAAGAATTAGATTATTGGGGGATTGATGAAATATATTTAGAATCCTGTTGCCAAGCAAGGTATCATCAGAAGAAAGAGCAAATGAATGAAGAATTAAGGAGAGAGGCAGAGACAATGAGAGAAAGAGAAGGTGAAGAATTTGATAATGCTTGCTGCCCAGACAAAAGGAAAAAACTCTGGGACTTGTTGGAAAAACCCAATTCATCAGTGGCTGCAAAGGTAGGAACAGATACTTGAAAATTTGTTTAAGTTGCATATTTATATCAATTACAAGCCCTCAGTATGATCCATCGAATATATTATAATAAGGATTACAGAGAATATATTTATATCCCCTGAATAGGTGTTTGTTAATTTGAGGTGGGGAAAATATGTATTTTATTTCAAGACATTATGTGGGGAGTCTGTGCTGTCAATCAGGCTTTTGAAGTTTGTCACAACAGATATTTTTTTCTATATAGTTTTCATATATATTTTTGGTATATATGAGGCAATTTAGAATTTCTGGGATTTTTCCTTCAGTATAGTAGGAGCAATTATGATCAGCAACGTAATAAGTCAGAATGTTCATGACATGAAAGGGGTCTTGATGCATCATTAAATCAGAAATATTTACTTTTCTAATGTACAATTTTATTCCTAAGTACATTCTTTTTGAACGCAACAAAACTTTCAAGATAATTTAATTAGCATTTGGTTTTCATGAATCCTTATACAAAGTATTGAATAACTGCTTAGTATCATGATAATCCAGAATTGCTAAGCATCCCACTTATTGTTAGTATTGAAGACTAATATTGATAAAGGTTGTCAGATTGCTCTTATTTGCAAGAACAATTAAATTGACTAGAAAATGGAAATGAAAGCAATAGCTTGCTATTGAATCAAAATGTTAACCCTGGAGACTGATTTCCCTAGTAAACCAAGGAACTGGAAATTAATTTCACCATTCCAGTATAGAGTCTGGTTTGCTTGGGAAAGGACTATCAGGATTCCAGTTTGGAATATTATGAAAAGCTTTTGCTTTCTCATTGGTTTCTGTTTAGTTTTAGTCTTTCCGTGAGCGGGAAGAGTTAAGTTGGGGTTGATAGGGCTTTTTATACAAATATGTCCTCAGCAGTGATGAGCAACATTTTTAGCATTCTGGTTTATTGTTACTTCAGATATTATTAAATATTACATATATAACATTATATTTCATTATATCTTATTACTGGTAATACAAAATACCTCCCCGCTTAGATCAATTGTTCATGATACACTGGCTGTATTTGTTATAGCTTTGTGACTTTGATTAATACAGTATTTCTTTTGATTGAACTCTATAGAGACGGAATTGGTGAGGATAGGCTGTTGAATCTGAGAAACCTTTTTAAGAATACATATGCATTCTGCACATTTTTCTACACCTTTTTCTACCACATGCTTAAGCTGATGTTAAAGGATCTGTTCCAAACTGACGAGCTAGTAGATCCTTTACATTTATTTAGTCTGTGGGAAAGATATAAATACATTATTGTCGTTTTGTGTGAAAATGAATAGTGTTGAAATCTTTTTAAACAGGGAAGGCTTGGATATTTTATCCTATCTGAAATGCAACAAAATGTGCTTTTTTTTTGTAAATAGAAAGAAACATATGTCCATTATAGTTGTATGCATTTCAAATAAAGGGTAATGTCATAGGTTGTCCTGAGAAAATGTAAAGAAGTCTTCTTTAGCTGCTAAACAAATAGAAAGGAACTAAACTACAGCATCCAATCCTCTGGATAGCGGGATTCTTTTTGTGTCTTTTAATTGTATTGTACCTACCCATCCATGCACAAATTTAAGATATACTGGCTTAATTTCCAATGAGGATTTTTGTAAAACCATTTATAAAACTTTCATTTTGATCTGAGGGCTCTGACAAGCATGTAGGAGTTTATCAGTGGATGGAGAATCAAGAAATTTCAAGGGTATCTGCAAGATGTGGTCAAAAAAAGTCAAAATGGTGGCTACAGTTGTAGGATTGAAGCTCTATCTGTTTCTTATGTGTGATGCATGTACAACACACACACAAACATGCCTCATTTCTATCACACTATTGTAGCCACTGTCTTGAATATTTTGACACAACCTGCAGGAATGACAAATGTAATCCTCTTCTAGGTCAAAGGTCACTCTGTTAATAGAATGGTATATCTTTAGTCATTCATAGATTAAATATTGATTAGCTGAAATTTTATTGTGAGGAAAATTTGGAGATGTATGGCTAGCCTAGCAGGCTACCCTAGATTCTTAGGCCCACTCAGAACTAGATTACCATTCTAAAGAGAATAACAAAGGTAGGATATGTCTGTATGTACATAGGTATGTACGTACATACGTACGTACGTATATATGTAGAGCACCAAGGTAGAAACCAGGAGACCCGGGAGTTCTAGTTCTTTCTTAGGCACAAAGCCAATTGGATAATATTGGGCCAGTTACTCTCTCCCAGCCCTAGGAGGGAAGCAGTGGCAAACCACTTCTGAAAATCGTATCAAGAAAACCTCAGGGACTTGTCCAGGCAGTCACCAGGAGTCAAAAAATGGCTTGAAGGTGCACACAGACAGGGCCACAGATTCCTAACTGGTTCTTCCCTCTTCTGCCACTTAGGATCAATTCAACTTGCTGTGAATTTTTTTCTTCAAGAGCACTTTAAATAGTTCACATGTGTGTTTGGGATGCATCACATAGGTTTGGCAGTGAATGGAGGTTACATGTGTATTGAGGGGTACCTTTTTGTACCACAGAGGTAATGTCTATAAGGTCAAAGCTGAGTGTCTTGTCTTTCTGGTACAGTAATTCCATGCATCAGATTAGCAGTTTATGGTCTGCCAGCTTTTATCTTTGTTGTATATGATTCTACCGACATTTGTTCTGACTGTTCAAACAGAACTGGAAGTGCTGCCACTGCTTAATAGAATCCCTCCTATAATTTGTTATTAATTAGCTATGCACTCAAGGTCCCAGAGACTAATCTGTGGGAGATGGGCCATGTCATTGAGCTGACGCATGAAATCTCTACAGAACAAGGCAAAATCAAAATTCTCTGCAACATGGCACCTCAGTGATCCAAAATCCGTTGATGTCAGGTTTGCAACATACTGCTAGTTTGCTTTTATTGCATAAGGAAAGGAGGGCTTTTGCATGAAACCAGCCTTGTCTGGGAAATGAAGTGGCATTATTTTTACATCATCTAATTAATACTACTGTTCTTACTCTAGTTTGAAAGAATGCAAGGGCTTTGTCACTTAGGAGGTACTGTATATCCACATTTCAAGCCTGTGTCAATTTTATTGGTTTTAGCTTCCTTTAAAAAAATCCTTGGAAAGATGCTACACACAGGGTGTTGAGGGAAATACTGTTTCTTCAGAGAGTTGTCATTTCCAGGGTTTCCTATGTAAAAGGAATGATTAATATACCAATTTAATGTTTCAGTTTGAACAAATGGTTTGAAAGAAATAGCAAGATGCTGACTAATAGATACAATTATAACGCATCAGAAACCTTAATGCCTATTAGCCAATCTGTAGCTAAAGTGAAAAACACAGTGCAGTCTTTAAGACTTGGCATGAATATATTCATCTGCATTTCAGAGTAAGCAGGGAAGTGATTTATTATTGATTTATTATTCTATAGCTCTGATTAATGATTTATTATTTTAGACCTGTGTGTTCATTGTTCTAATATGTCCTCAGACTTAATAAATAAAAAGACACAGAACTGTAGTTGCTGATTTTAAATTTTACAATCACAGCAATGGCCCTAGCTTTCGATTTCTAAAATATAAAACAAAGTCCCCAATCAAATAATTTTCCAACCTTTGCCCTCTTGTGCTACACAACATTTAATGAAATATTCAGAAATTGTTTGGAAACTTCTTCCCCTTCAAAGTACTATTGGATCATTCATTCTTCTGAAGCATAGAGCCTATATTTAGTAGCAATTATTATAATTCTGAATATAAGTATGAACTTATTTTATCAGACCTTGTATTCCACGATGATTTGTACTATATCTCTGAATTGTGATCATGTTTGGAAAGAGTTATAAAATATTCCAGATTATAACACTGCCTTAGTATTTTCATTGTATTTATTATTAGATTTATATCCTGACTTTATTTTGTACATCTCAAGGGAAGCGCACTGAGCAGGAGTGACTGCCCAAAGTCACCCAGCCAGTTTTCATGCCTAAAGCAGGATGAAAATTATGATCTCCTAGATTCTAATCCAGTGCCATAACCACTACACTAAACTGGTTTTCGGTTGTAGCTCACATGGTCTAAAAAGCTATAGGTGAAGTCAGAAGAGATCTCCTAGCTGACCTTATAAGATTGAATTTGCTTTCAAGATGATGGAATCTAATGCTGAGGTTTAAGCTTTTAGTGATGGCATTGCCATCCTAATAAGATATCCAGTGAAGGAAATTGATGCATGCTAGGACTTGATGACATATAATCAATACATCAAAACGAATTGTAAAACCTAATGCTAGATGATAATTCCCAGTATGTCTCACCATTGGCCATGTGCTGCTACGATCAGGGTCAGCTGGAAGGCCACCACTTCATCATTTCCAGATGATCAAATGGTCCCAAAATGATACAGTGAAACCTCATTTTATCAGACCTTGATACAAAAACCTCACATGTACTGTCCAAATGTTCACTATGATTTATGTTATTTGCATTTTCATTTCTCAAATGAAGCAAATTGTTATTTGTATCATTTTCCATTATTTGTAAATGGGATGCCCTATTCTCCAATTTAACAGCTTCCTTAATAAGAGGCACACTCTGCTTCCCAATGAATACAGGAAAATCAGAATTCACTATATATTAATATTGCACACATCTCTCATATTTTTGGATTGTTTGCTATTGACAAAATTAGTTTTAACATTTAATCCCTATTGTAAAGAAATTACCACTGTTGAAGCAAGTGGTGAGCATGCACTCTTACTTACGTTATCTGTTTTTTCAAAAGGGGATGGATAAATCATGCATTCCTAGATGAACTTTCTTTTTTATTGTGACTTCTAAATATAAATTCTAGCTTAATCCAAGATCAAGTAAAGCCTTGCTAATGGATTTGTCAGGTATCCAGGTGATCCCTGCTAAGACAAAGTGCAGAACAAAAACGTAAGGATGAAGCATATGGAAATGAATAGTAGAACTGCCTGGTAGCAATCAG